TCGATACATTATAACAAAGCTAAATTCCTTCGCCTCGTTGTTAGAGATTCAGAGCATGTTTCTCACCGCTCTGTTAACCTCCCTCAGCTCGGCGGGGCTCAGAAGGGAACCGTATGAAATGTTTTCCACAAACACAACTAGAAAACGTGGTTGTGTTGAAGAATTATGTTCGACACAGACTGAGAATGGGGGCGAGAGGATCTGTCAGTACTGATCAGCGAGACACATGACTCATGCATAATCCAATCACATCACCCGGCACTGTGTGTAGGGGTGGGCGATATGACGATATATATCGTCGTGACAATATTAGGTCTCCACGATATGCTTTTTCAGAGATATCGTATCTATCGTGATAAAAAAAAAGTTACGTTAAAGTCTTTGATTGCACTTCAAGTCTAAAGTTTACATTTTAATTGTTTGGCACTGACTTTTCCTCATTGATGTTTTACTTAGTTATGTTTTACCCTCCTTTTCATGTTTATTGAAGTTCACTGCTAGTGCTACCTCAGAAAGTTCATTTTTATACTGAGAAACTTTGCCTTGAAGCCATATCAAAATGTTGAATTGTGAACTTTCTGAGGTAGCACTAGCAGTGAACTTCAATAAACATGAAAAGGAGGGTAACACATAACTAAGTAAAAGATAAAACATCAATGAGGAAAAGTCAGTGCCAAACAATTAAAATGTAAACTTTAGACTTGAAGTGCAATCAAAGACTTTAACGTAACTGAAGGGAAAAGCTATATAAATACCTTATTGATAAAATAAAATAGAAGCCAACANGTAGATGGGCGTGACTTTGCCTCTCTATAGAGTGGCGAAGTCCCTCGCCTTCCGGTGGACCTCCGTGGGACCTTATTTCGAAAAAAATGATGTATTGAAGTCAATGGTGAGAGAAAGATTATCCTTCGATCCCGTTTGAATTGAAAACGGTCAAGAAACATATTGAGCCCAGAAAATTGATTAGGGGCTGTAATATATAATAAGCCTATGTCTAAAATGGACAACATTGTTAGGAGATTTAATCTATACAGCGATTCTGCACTACGGTCAACTCAGCCGCCTCTCGAGTTTGTGTTTTCAAATCAGCTGCTCTTCATTATTCCTGCTATATTTGACGAGTGACAAGCGGGCAAAAATTGGTTAATTGCCATGGATGTGGTGTTTGATATAGTTTACGTTCAATTTCAACAATTTTAGGCAGAAAAATATATATTGACCAAACCTTTTTTAATAATTTACTATAATTTAGAAGTTTTTGTGAGAAATCATTTCAAAAGTAAACTTGTTTTCCTTTTTTATTTAAATTTGAAATGTTTGCACACAACATTATTAATGTATACATTTGTATCAATTTTTTAAAATGAGTAATCCATTTATTTTATTCTATTTTCTTGAGGCTGGGGACGATATCCAGCATGTAGTTCAACATGCAAATGTTGTAATACGAGTAAGTAGTATAACATGGACAAGTAAATAAAATACGTTTAGCAGGAGGATGTGGATTTATTTTCTCTCACCTTGTAATCACAATCAAACAATCTATAATTTAGCTCTGGCCTTGACTCACAAAAAAACTTTTTTTTTTTTTTTTTTTTTTTGAATTGGACACATTTTTTGAAGCTCTATTGACTGACATGCAATGACTGGGACTGATGGAAGAATCTGAGAGGAATGAACTAGCGGTAGGGGTGGGCGATATGACGATATATATCGTCGTGACGATATTAGGTCTCCACGATATGCTTTTTCAGAGATATCGTATCAATCGTGATAAAAAAAAAAAATTGAAATCTTTTTTTTTTTAAATATAAAAAAAATAAACTGATGTGAAAGACATGCTCTAAAGCTGTCTAGTCAGGATTCAGACAGTATTGCACCTTATTTATTGTCTTGTTTGATTCTGTTGGCTTATATTTTATTTTATCAATAAGGTATTTATATAGCTTTTCCCTTCAGTTATGCTAAAGTCTTTTATTGCACTTCAAGTCTAAAGTTTACATTTTAATTGTTTGGCACTGACTTTTCCTCATTGATGTCTGCCAAGGCACACNCCAATTTATTTCTATGTCTAGCTCTACTGGGGGTATTCAGTTTATTCTGCCTAAAGGTCCAGCAGTTTTGCTTCATTTACTTTCAAAGGTTCACTTTGTACTTTACGTAGCAAACTCTAGCAAACCCTCATTCTAGGGCTGCTCGATTATGGCAAAAATCATAATCTCGATTATTTGGGTCAATAATTGTAATTGCGATTTATTAAATGCAATTATTCATTGACTCTGAAAACATCCATTTATTGGAGAAAAAAAATGTGAACAGTATGTTTTTAACAGTTGATTACCCTGAACTTTAAGTATAATTCAACTGAAAAACCCCAAAAAACAAACAAATGATAATAATAAAAAAATTATCGTTTGATTTCGATTACGTTGTTTTCATAAACGTTGCAAGCCGTAATCGCGATTAAAATACGATTAATTGAGCATCCCTACCTCATACTGTTCAACACTGATCTGTAAGCAGCGGCACTTTTCATAGATCTACTGTAAGGCTTGTATACCTTTTTTAAATCGTTCCAATAATAGACAGTAGTAATTCTGACAGGGAATGAGAACTTTAATTGTTTGGGTTGTTGTTGTTGACGTTTGTTTGTTTTGTTTGTTTTCCTTCCTGCCTGGCTCTCTGGTAGATGCCAGGATTGGAGTTGGCTACTAAGATGTTTCACGCTCCCTGACCCTGCTAGTCATAAAGGCCCCTGTGTATGAAGTACCCTGTGGTTTATGTAACTGCTAATAGGGTCGTTGATTATACTGGAGCTTAGACTAAGGAGGATTGGACAGCCAGAGTTGGAGAGGGGGCTTCTTTTATGGGGAAGGTATTGTTCGGCAAGGCCTGAGCTCCGAGTCATGGTTGTCTCCTCTCTCAGGCTTTAATTACCCCCAGTCCGTGCAGACAAAGCTCTCGCTCTTCTGCCTTTACGTAACCTCTCACACTCCCAAACTACTCCACGCCAAAACCCATCATAATTCATGCTCAGATGGAGGCTGTTGTGGTGTGTACACAATAAAACAATGGTTTGGTTAATTATTCACATAAATGGGTAATTATTGTGAAAATAATTCATTAGAACGCCTTTATAACATCACGTGGCATTAAGTTCTCTTCAAGTTTTATGTTTCACTCAAACTCTCTATATGGCTCTGTGTTTATCTAACTCGACACACCCTTTCTGCAACAACAGAAGCAATGCAGACAAGGGCAAGCTCTCGGTTTTAGTATTACTTGATTTAAGTGCTGCTTTTGATACTGTAGATCAGGGGTCGGCAACCTTTTTGATATGAAGTGCCATTTAAAAAAAAAATTGTTATCAGCGTGCCAACGATCGAGAATTATCAACGGGGGAACCTCGCTGCGGGGAAGCAGTGTGTGGACCTGTCAGCGCAACTTATGATGCCGAATTTAACAAACACATTTAAATTGGTTTAAACTGCATAATAATAAGGACGATCGTCCGTTCTGTGATTTTCCAGAGCACACATGTTATGATATTAGGGTCGTGCAGAGTGAGATGAGATCGCTGTCCCTTTAAGAGAGAGAGGAGAGAGAGAGGGGTGTGGCTTGTGCATGTGTGTTTGTGGATGGTAGAGCCACAGTGAGGGAACGTGTGTATGTTTCTGGAAGTGAAACGAGGAAGCAGAAAAACAGAGGTCTGTGATGTATTTTGTGAAACAGAAGAACAGCTAAATAAATGCAACGTCCTCCCAAGAAGAGCTCGCCTCTCTCCAGTCATTTAAGCTAAAGTGGGTTATTTCAATAACCCACTTTAGCTTAAATGACTGGAGAGAGGCGAGCTCTTCTTGGGAGGACGTTGCATTTATTTAGCTGTTCTTCTGTTTCACAAAATACATCACAGNACGGGGCTTCCTGTTTCTGACTGGCTGGTCCCGATACCTGTATCGCACGGCAGTAGAACTGGAAGTCCGGAGTACTCTGATTTTAATGGTAAAGAAAACCCATAAAAGTTACAATCAGATTATTGTTATAACTTTTATGCCGGTGTTTTGAACTCCTTCTTATTAATGTGACCAGGCTCATCTAACGGACGGCGCGGAGCAGAGGTGGGCTTTAAGCCACCACCACTGTGGTGTTTTGCTCCAACAATCTGGCATGTCAAATCGCACACCTATTTGTCAAAAGCAGGGACGGAGCCACATAGTTCAAAGTAGGTCTAGCCTTTTGCCCTTTCAGTCAAAAATCACAAGACAAAGATACAATGGATAAGATCTCAAGACAGTGTATGGCTCAAGAAGACCTAGGTAATATCAATCAAAACCTCAGAACCGCACCCCACTTAATGCCAACATATGACTGGCTGGCTGTACAAGTACACAAGGAGTTCTATTTGTCACAAACACCGAGAGTTACAAAAGTCAAATATGTAGTGAAATTGTGTGGTTGCTCAAGGGTGGGGCTGTGATTCGACTATACACCTCCGCCACGTAGTAATAAAGTTGAGCGCATACATAGTGAGACCTAAAGTAATTTGACCCTATGGAAAAGCTGTGTTATTTTTGGCGAAGAGTGAGTGTCATTTAAAACAATGTATGATGAGAAGTTGTGCCCGAAAAAAATAACTTTTTTTTTTTTTTTTTTTATCTTGTCACTGAGGGCCCTCTTTGCTCAAGGGCCCCTGGGCACTTTTCCATGTTGCCCATATGGTTAATCCGGCCTTGGTTGTTACTACGTAATACAATATGTAGAAATGATCAGAAAAACAATATAGTGTAGCTTTTGTAAAAACGGTATAGTTTGTCAAAAATCAGAAAAGCAACAGTATATAATAACTAGACTTTACAGTTTAACTTTTATATAAATGTTAAATTGAATCCAGAAATGATCATTGATTATTTTCCGCCCACTATCTAACATTTTAAATAATGGAAGACACACCGTACATGCATGAGCGTTTTTTCGACATACATACACACAAACACAGACACCTTTAACACACCGTGTGTTTTTATTGAAATAGGCATAATAAATATCAGAACAAAGAAGTCAGTCCGACACATCTATTTGTCCGGTGGCATTCTGGCCATGAGCACTGCTGTCATGGCTTTGGGTAGCCTTTATATCGGGGTCAATGTGTTCACCGTTCTAATAAAAGTTTGCAGTAGGAGGAATTCCAATCGTCCACAACAATTCATCCCATCAGAAATGTTCCCTGTAGCCACGTGTAGCAAAGAGTTGATACACAAACTGATCTGGGACCAGACAGAGGAATCTGTTATTGCTTGTTACGTGCTTTGCAGCGGAGCGTAGTCCTGCAGGCGAGGCATTAGAGGTACACAGCAGGAGAACTCGGGGTTAAAACATGATCAAATCTCATCAAGGGGAAACATTTACAGCTTCAAAGTTTCCAGTTATTCCACAGGCTTTGTCAACCTTAAATTCCAGTGCTTCTGTCAGCCTTCTATGAATTAAAGTTCAATGAATAAATACATTTAATCATGACATTAACAAAAACATGTTGTGGGTCCTTCACAGGCTCAATACTGGAGAGAGGGAAAGACACTGGGGCTGCAAAGACTTCCAGCTTCTGTCCTCTCAATACTCATGGTCCATCTAAAATTCATAAGAGTCACAATAAATACAGCTTAGTCTACTTGTCATCATGCACTAATGACAATATTTACACCATTTCTCAGAAAGGATTCATTCAGGCGGCGGTAAGAGGGGCACATAACTCATGCAGCAAAATTACATGGAAATAAAATGCATTTTAAGAAAAATTGTTTATAGAGTTTCTACCAATCAATATCAAAGTTGGAAGAGGAGCGGGGACTTAAAATGATTAAAATCCTAAATGAAACATAAGATTCTGTCTCTCCATTTTGTATCGAACAGGGTTCATGTTGCATTCAATTCATATGGGAATTTAACGTTTTAGTGGCTAGTTTCTAAAAACCCTGCACTGATATCAAATACATTTCGTATATGGTAAAACACAATTAAAGGATAAGGCTAATGTTTTTTTAAATATATTGTCATGAAAAGACTTGATCCAATAACAAAAATAATGTCCTATTAAATGCACACTGTGCTGTGAACCAACTGGGAATTAATCCACCACTGAAAATAGTCCCCGCTGTTTCAGAAAAATAAAGAGCCTTTAAACAAGGAAACTATGTCTTTAAAATAAGACCGGCAATTAAAGTTAAAAAGTATCGAGAAAGCTGCTAACACTTAATTGGTTTTGGTCTTTTCATGATATTTGTTGAAAATAAAAAAACATCAGCTTTAACATTACATTTCAAAAAAATGCTCAGACCTACTGTAAAGTGAGAAATTACAGTTTTCTCAACAAGACCCAAGTCTAAGTGGCTGATTCGCCTTGTACTCTATTCCAGTGATTACTACATTCAGTTAGAATAAGTAACATTTTGCTTCAGTTCATTCTTGACCGTGGGAATATAAGTATGACAAAATAATCTGAACACATGTCCCCTTACTAGCTTTAGCCAGATGTTTCAACTACAAAGTTCTCTAATTAATCCATGCGATGACAACCAAGCAAATACAAAATAAGCTGGGGGAAAAAAAATCTAGTAAGAGGACCTTGAGTTAAATTATTTAGTTGAACCTTTTAGTTGTTGAAATGGAGATATTGGCAAACTGTTAAAAATGATAAATGAATGTGTGAGGCTCACACACAGACACACCATCGATCACTTCTTAAACATCAAGTTGGATGTTATACAAACCAAACCAGGGTAAACACACACCAGAGATCATACATCCTTGAAATATCACACACACACACACACACGCACACACGCGCACACGCGCACACACACACACACACACACACACGCCTGTACTTGAGTAGGAATGTCCATGTAGCTACAGGTTAGCTCCTGACTCATCACTGAGATCAGCTTTTGTGTTCATCCGCATGTTTAAAGCTGAGAAAATGCCCAACACCAATCCAGAGAATAAAAATAAAGAGAGGCATGAAGAGCCGTCAGGAAACACAGAGTCAGAATCCTCCTTTCAGTGTCTCTTGTTTCCACATCTCAAAAGGCATGCTCGCTAATGCTACCACTAACTAGCCGCAGGCGAGGAAATACATCAGTTTATCTAGTTGTATCTACTGAGGGCAAGCTAGGCTACATAGCTAGCACACAGGGACACATCTGCTACTCTGCTAAGAACATTTTGAAGAAAACACCAGCAAACGTTGAACCAGTGTATATTCTGCTCAACAAACGTCCTGTTGTATCCCTCCAAGCAGCCACTGCTTCAGTTCATTTCAGTGCAATGTAAAGTGTTTAGGGATAACACATGGTTGGTAAGGGTCTTGATGGATTAAAAGCAAGTTTTATGTTGCTTAAAAAGGACTTTCTTGAACCTGAAGTGTCCAATTCTGGTATCTAATTGGACACTAGATAAACACGATTAAGCACTGGTGGGGTAATAATACTGCATCCAAGCTTATGGCTGACCCAAAGTCTTACTTCTCTGTTGCTTTGGTAACCACATTTTTCATTTCCGTCACTCACTTCCTACTTCCCTGTTCATCCCAGAGCCAAAAGGGTAAGAGTGGGAGGGTGGGAGAAGCTGGTGGAGGAGAGGGGAGTTTTAGAGGAGAACGTAGGGGGTCTCCGGGGCTAAAGGGCGATGCCTTTGACGATGGAGGCCTCCAGGGTGATGGGGAAGTCGTGCAGCGTCTCCAGGACGTCGATGTGGGAGCTGACCGTGGCCCGGTCTCTGAGCAGGGCCGAGTCCTCGTACATCCTCTGGATCACCGGGCACTCCACCAGCAGGGGGACCCACTGGGGCAGCAGGCGGTCTCTGAGGGACAGACAGTGAGAGGACGTTTAAACATCTGTGGCAGGACAGCTGGATTTATTGACCCTAAGTAGAGTGTCTGTCATCTGATAACAGGACTAGTTAAGGTAAACATCCTTTCAACTAGGGTCTGTTTATTCAAGGCCTCTACCTTCATAAAAACATTTTAGGACTGTTTTACAAAGAATCTGCTTTAAAGGCCGTGAAACCAATCCGTCTAGTATGTTTTCATATGCTCAAAATCGGATTTACGTTGCCCATACAGTGCCACACACATCATTTGAAGTATAGGAAAACAAAGTTATGTAATACTAAATGTTTGTGATCATTTTTCCCATGGGTTTTTGAAATCTTTGAAAGTTTGTGATTTTGAAAAACAAACTAATTAAAGGCTGTAGTGGCAAATTTCATATGTTACCTAATATGGTAAAACCAAATGCAGCAGTTCCAGGATGATGTATTCAGTTCATGTCCCTTGCTAGACTTATGATTAAGTCTAGCAGTGTGTCTGGGTGTCAAACACAGTGTCTTCTTGAGCAAGTTCATGTGTTTCTTCCCTGTTCCATAACAACTTCCTGCTTCCCCTACTTCCATCTGTCTTGAACAAGTTCCTGTTTTTCCTATATTAGCAATGCACAGTTTCTGTTCCTCTGGATAGGCATTGCTTATCTCTCTTTCCAGCCCAGCAACAGTGACAGGTAGGGATATAACGATACCAAAAACTCACGGTACGATAATATCGCGATAAACAGTCCACGGTACGATATTTATCAAATATATAAAAAAAAATAATAATACAAATTTAAATCGCAGGAAATTTGGTCAGTCTCACGAGGGTATTGAGACATTTATTTACCGCGATATCGCAATATTCGATATATCGTTACATCCCTAGTGACAGGTGATGAAGTGTTGTTAAACTGTCAAGATCCTATAAAGCTCATACACACACTTCCCTCTGTGTGCACTCTTACAGACTACTCTGTGAGACATGTACCTTTGAAGCTTCAAATAAAGAACCACAAAGACATATTATTATAAGCCTACTACTAGTACATCTCCAGATTATTGACGAGGTAAAATATCCGCAACAAGGTCTTGAAGGTATATTTGAAAATAGACACAAACACATACGAGTCATTTCAAGTGCTTGAACTCATATATTTTGGAAAAGAATATCAATCGTATTTTAAATATTCTTTTTGACATTAGTGTGGTGCAGTATTTGAGCCATGACCGGTCCTTGCATTTGAAAGAATGTGGCCTGAAAAGTACTTGAAAAGTCACTTAATTTGTTTTTTAAGAAGATGTGATGAATATACATTTCAATTAAACATTTCCATGAAAGAAAAGTAACAAAAATGCTGTCAATTATATTTAAAGATTGTAGCCAGCAGGTCAAATGTCCTCAAGTTCCCAACAACTACCAGAGCATTGCTTTGTCGGTAAAATACATATTTCTTCCATCCCATGCTTGTTGTGAACACTGAATGCATCACAGAGGTGGACAGACTGACCTGGCTCCGAGGCAGACCAGCAGCTGGAACTTCCCGTCCTTCCCGATGTTCCTGCGGGTGGAGTTGATGGCGTTGACGTAGTGACAGAGTGATTGACAGGTCCGTCCCAGGGGCTCCGCTGTCTCCTGGAGGTCTCCCATCTGGTCAGCTGACTCCATGTAGGCAATGGCTTTCTCTGCAGAGGGGGGGGAGGGGGGGGTTTAGTTTAGTTTTCACATGGCTTTAGCAGATAAATAAACGGTTAAATCACACAGCATGCACAACTTAAATACAATTCTCTTGGCAACATTGTCAAATAATTAAAAAAAAGGTATGTAAAAATAAATAAATATGTAAGGATGGAGCTTCATATGCATTATCCTAAACTGGCTTCATAAATAAAGTTGGATTAAAAAACAAAAGAAGAGAAAAAGTATCATTCCTGACATTATTTCTCCATAAATCGTGTATGGTATGATCAGCAGGTGGCGCTGTCCCTCCACACTCACCCACAAAGTCCCACACAAACACGGTCTTCTGGAAGAGCCGGGCGGACTTGAAGCCGTGACGGAAGAACTGTTCCAGAGCGGACACCAGGCTGCTCTCCCCACACAGCAGCACGGTCAGGCTGCCTCTCTGAGAGAAGCACACATCAGCTGTTCAGAAATAATCTCTACTTCCAAAATGGTATTTAAAATAAAGCTGGGTCTCCAGCTGGGAGTTGCAAACGGCTCTCTGCAGGACACACAGGGAGAGGACGTTTGAAGTGCCCATTTTGTTGGATCTGTATCCATAAAAGGCTCATTGTTCATGTTTCTTTCTATGAAATATTGAGGCTTGAAGCTGCCGACTAGCTGGGATTTTCAATGACAGAGGAGTCCTCTCTTCCACTGCTGGTTAGCGCTCACATGCTTTGTGCACAACAGCTACTTAACTGGTAGATGTCACAAAACTTTACGTAGTCCTGAAGGATTTATGTGTTGCAGTGTTAAAGTTCAGAGGGGATAATTGTTGATTGCCTCTGACTACTCTCACAGGGCTGCTCTCCACACAGAAGGCACTTCAAATGTAGCTCGGTTTCCTCTGCTAAAGTAGGTCTGCATGTGACTGGCACTTTACTGATGTTTACATTACGAGCAGTCAGTGGACAGAAACAATGAGAATGACTCCACTCAGTTTAGTGATGTGAAGGGTTCAGAGAGAGGGCAGCAGCTGTTGAAGAATGAGTTCATTCAGCAGTGACAAGGAGATCCTCACCTCTTTCTCCGGCTTGTGGAAGTGTTTGATGATGTTGTTCACGGCCTCCCCGATGGCCTCTTGGATCTGGGCTGAAGTCGGTTCTGGAGAAAAGAAAGGAATGAATATAAAGACTTCAACATCCCAGAATTCATATTTGACTGTTAAAGAGTACTGACTGTATCCTCGTCCAGACAGCGACGTGACACTGATGCGTCGGATCTGGGATGGCGAGCGCTGCAGCGGGGGGGTGTAGCAGCCTCTCCCAGAATCCTCCTCTCCGCTGGGCAGCACCGGCTCCCCGATCAGGACCCTCTCCAGGCTGCCGTCGTCCACACCTTTACCGAGCCACCGGCCACACGGGAACCTGAGGGGGAAGGAGGAAGTTGTGAGAAAATATGTAATATATAAGTATTATATAACTATTAAAACAAACCATTAGAAAACTTAAACATAAGAAGAAAAGTTTGAAAGAAATCTAAATAAAAGTTACTACAATTAAAATATGAGATTACTGAATTTGTTTTAATAAAAGCAAGGATGTGCATTATTTTAAAACTTACAAAATACAAAAGCCTCAAACAGGGTTAAAGGTTTCTGGAGCAAAAAGGGATATTTAAAAAAAAAAAAAAAAGTTTCTCGTACTGATGTTGGACTTGATGTATTCTCAAAATATAGTTCTGAAGAGTTTATAATGTTTGATTATTTGGCGACTACACATCTAAATCCATTAGGAATCTAGTGTTGCTGTTAACAGGCAGACAAAGCAGCGAGCCATGCATTTAAAGGAATGGTCATACTTTTTCTTCTAGATCTTTAATCCACACACTTTTCAATTGTCGATGAGACGACAGGATTAAAAGCTCCATTAATACTTTTTTTGTAAGACAGGAAAATAGAACTTCTGGGAGTACTTTCCCCTCAGCTACTAACACACACCCTGCACTCACTTGTATGTGTGCCCTGTGATCTCGTTGCGCACCATCACACAGTCCACCAGCCATTTCGCCAGGAGGCCGGCGTTGTCGTGTCCCAGCTGCACCGTGGTCATCTTCCCCAGGTTCTGACACTAAACACAGCGGAGAGGGAATCTAGTTAATGCAAAGTACTTTAAATAATGTTAAATCCTTCTTAATAAGCTTTGTCAATGTACATCTACAGCACTATCACAATAACTGTTATTACTGCTAAAGTCCTCCCATAACCAAAACAGTGTTACCTTCAAAATGAATTAGATTAAAGGGAATAGATCTCTGTTCATTCAATATAAGTGTGTTAATTGATTTAATCCTTGGCAATGAGAATGTGTTGGATTGAAACCCTAATCCTTTTCAATGAGGCTTTCCCAGAATGCACTGGGCTGACATTTCCACACTTAAGTAATTCCTAACATTAAGCTACCTTCAATGTTGTTCAATACAATATCTCTAAGTAGTTTTAAGCAGCGCTAATACGTTACGAAACAGTCGTTTAGATTTGAGGGTGTGAGAGAAGCTGACTATACTTAAAACACTTTCTAACAAGAGAACAGAGCAACTATGACTAAAAGCAAATCAAAAGGGGGCCGACTGCATGACAACAGGGCAGCTGGATGAAAGCATTTCACAGAGACTGATGGAGATGATGGGGGGGTGGGTGAGTGGGGGAGGGGCTGCCTCTAACCTTGAACAAGGCGGAGATGTGCGTGTGAGGCCTGAAAGCAGACTGGGGGAGACGGAGACACTTGTTAAGACACAATGGGGGGGACAATCACAAATGGTGGAGTGGTGATTTCAAAACCAAAACAAAGCAGCATCCATCATGCAAACAGAATGAAAACCAGAGGGGAACAACATGCAGTGAGAGGAGGCAGCAGATGAGGGGAGGAGGGGGCGTTAACGCTATTATGTGTTGGTCAGTTCAACTTTCTGTAAACAGACCTGTGTTCATTTGTATAATCCTAATTAACGTCAACGCATGTAGATTGTGCTATGTATGTTTTATTTATAGTCAAAGATAATTCTGATCAAATTCGAACAGATGGAAACAAAGTAACGGTCTATCCAGTAGGTATGGTTGTTGAAATGTAAAGTGTGTTAAAAATCGCTGTTTGACCGACACTTAAGTTCATCTGCCTGTTTCTTTTAGAACTTAAGGTCCCATTGACTAGATTCTTCCTCTGGTTAAAATGTATAGATGATAACAACAACAATGTATTGTAAACATGTGGCTTTAAGCTAGATGAAAAAGTTGATTTGTTAAAAAAAAATTGGTATTAGGTAGGTACACGAAAAGAATATAACATCAAGTCAGGAAAAAAAAGTGCAAAGATTGTACATAGTATTACTTTAATTGCTATTTAAACGCTACTTTGAGGGGAAACATTTATTAGTAGACTTTGTATAGATCGTACTGAAAGTGAATGATGTGCTACAGAAGACCAACCTTCTACTAAACCAGAATGACGCTTTAATGAACGCACACAAGCAAAACTAGCTGTAATGCCTTAAATGTGTGTGAAGGTATCCCAGTGACAGAGGAGGCACACAGACTGTAACTGAAACTCACACACAAAAACCCGACGCCACCCAAACTGCACTCAGAGGACTCAGCTTCAGACTCAGGGTCACAGTACTCACATCGAAGGTCATCTCCAGGACGTTCTTGGGGATCTGCATGATGCCCGAGTCTCCCAGCTGTCCGGACACACACACCCAGGGGTTGGAGGTCGTCATGGCGTTGCTGAGCTTCTTGATGGGGATGATGACGACTCGATACGGGATCACTGCAGAACAAAAACAAGCATTAGAGGAGAGAAGCATGCTGATTCCACTCATTATCTAACTGGGTCAATTTCATTATAAGATCCAGATTGAGGCCAGGAGGAAAACAGAATAATGGATCAGATAGTAGAGGAATATTAAATCCTCACCTACATGTTCATTTATCGGAATAACGGCTTAGCTGCTCTGTGAGTTGAATAATACATTGTGCTTTAAGTCTTTGGTTAAAGTGTACCATACATCCTCGTGGTTTATTCATACTAATAGCTCAGCCTGCCATTGATCCACAATCATCCATGTAGCAGCTGACCTTAACAAAATAACTCGGAGACGAATGGCGGGAAGAGGGGTTTCTGAGATATGAGGTGGGATGTGGTGTGTTATTTAGACGGCCACAGGACTCACTGATGGTGGTGAAGACGCTGGTGAAGCAGAAGTAGTCGACGGTGTTGAGGGAGAGCAGGTGGAAGAGGAACTGCTCCTTCTCCTCCTCGCAGCGCAGGAAGGCGTAACGCTTGTACAGCTTCCTGTAGACACAGAACGTCAGGTTCAAAAATATCACCGTGAAATATCATCTGCCGTTTAAACTCCTGTCCCCATGTGTTCCTGTTGAAGTACAAGGCAGCAGGAAAGACAGCAATGGAAGGTCAGGAGCAATAAAGCACTGATCTTTTCCACTTAAAAGAAATACAACTTTTAATTATTTAACTGGACAACAGCAATTCATAAGTAATGCTGCAACGTTTCCTTTCAGATGGCTAATGTCCCATATAGAGCAGCCACTCTCCCAAGAGATGGAGAAAAAGCCCATTCAGGAGAGGTATAATTATCAAGCTTTAATGTCCAATCGATGAAAGTCTTCACAGGTTTAAAATAATATAAATGTAGTTTGGATTTTCATATTGGTGTGATTGGTTTAAAAATAACGTATGTTTTGGGACAAGCGATGATATAAGTACGTGTGTGTGTGTGTGTGTGTGTGTGTGTGTGTGTGTGTGTGTGTGTGTGTGTGTGTGTGTGTGTGTGTGTGTGTGTGTGTGTGTGTGTGTGTTTGCTCACTTGGTCAAGGCTTGTCGGCACAGCAGCTGTTTGAGGTGTTGTGAGAGCAGCTTCTTCTCCAGGGAGAGCCGGATCCAGGCTCTCGCCCGGCCCACATCTGTCTTTATCTCGGACATGCTCTGGATATGCCTGAGGACGCAGACCATGGAGGGACAGAAGAGAGGTGGGTCAAGTACAGCCACAATGTATCTAATCATTGTTTGGTCTCTAAAATAAAGTGCCAGAATTCAGAATTTCCCTGCAGAGCAAGTTGTCTTTTATAACATTTTGCAATGAATCCAATGATTCACGGTACAGATGGATGCTGAATAAAAGGAATACTGTTTGTAGTTAACTAGCAGCTGATTCCTCAAGTGATCACTACAGGACAGTAACATGTACCTCATATCCTGTATGAGAGACACGCGTAGAGACGGCATCGCCATGGAACAGTCAGACTTCCTCCTCTCAGGAACATGTGACACTGCAGAAGCAAAATACAGGATATTTTTTATTTGCCTTTGTCAACTTTTGATACAACTTTTAAATGTTTTTGAGGCCAACATGGGGCCTGCAGCAGACTAGTTAAGGCTTGTTTTGGATTGGGATCGCATACACTAAAACACACACCACACAAAATGCATGATCTCCCCACAGGTTTATGCCTTGTGGAGTTTTTAGAAAATGTGTGTGTGTTTGTATTTGTGTGTGTTTGTATTTGTGTGTGTTTGTATTTGTGTGTGTTTGTCCTACCTGGTGACTCCGCCTGCTGCTGCTCCAGCTTCTCCTCTCGGGCATGGTAGTGCAGCATGTGGGACCACAGGGCCGACTTCCCCTGAGACGTGAGAGAACCAAAAATCACGACACACACCAAAACAGCTACTGATGAAGATTATAATCCCACACAGAGGAATAATCAGGCAATAACCTCGTAGACTTAATATCCAGTATGGTCATACAGATCTGATTTAAGCAGTGTGCTTATACACACACAGCACTAGTGGGTGTTTGCCTGAGTGTGTGTGTGTGTGTGTGTGTGTGTGTGTGTGTGTGTGTGTGTGTGTGTGTGTGTGTGTGTGTGTGTGTGTGTGTGTGTGTGTGTGTGTGTGTGTGTGCTGACCTGTTTGACCTGCAGCCCGTGGCTCCAGATCCTCTCCAGCAGGTCACACAGGCTGGCGATCAGAGTGTTCTCCTCCAGCCCTGTGATGGTGGCCTCCCCGTGGCCCAGCTCCACCGCCTCCCGGCCCATCTTCTCCACCAGCATCCGCTTGGTCTGAAAAAAATGCATTAAGAAGTTATAAAGTATGCCAAGTGGAATTTGAATATGCAATGTAAATGATACATGTTTAAGTCAACAGTAAAGCTAATTAGCATTGTACTTATACCAGTCGAGTTTATATGATAGCTATTTATCTTAAATTAGACTGACACTATACTGGTGTCAGAATAAAAAATGTTGCATCTTGGGAAAATCTTTAGTCTGATATTCAGACAAATTAACAGAATAACTTCTATGAGATCTCATTTTGATGCATCATGAGAAGCTGCCTTTGTGTCTCCCTGCATGCATCATTCATGAGAGATGACACCCCTCAGAGCTTGGTTTGTGGGTGTCAGAGGTCAGTGAATCACGGCACTAATGAATCGCTGCTCTCTCTGTGGGGTCTTACCTTCATGCGGCACTCCTTGAGCAGCCCCTCCACAAACTTCCAGTTGGTCTGGGCGATGACGGCGGGCGACAGGTCGGACAGTTTGGGCTGTCGGAGGTTCTTCCCCAAGCTGCGGGCCTCCTGCATGAATTTCTGGAGGTCAAAGAGAACCGCTTAGTGAGAACATGTACTCTGATCAGAAAAATATAGAATTAAGAGAAATGCTGGAGTGGTTTTTAACGCAGGTGGAGACATTATACTTGCTCCTCTTTAACACCACGTGTCAGAAAAGCTTGATCCATCAGACACAGATAGAATTATCAGCTTTTAGTCAACCAGTAAAAACATGTTAAAGAGTGAAAGTAGTGAAAATGCAGCACTTCAAAAATAAATGTGAGTTAATATGAATGGAGGTTACACAGGAGAGAAGTGAGAGCCTGTTTTTTCTCAACATACATACATAACATACAGTAAGGACAATAAGATGAGGGGTGGGGCTAAGGGGTTACAGTGTAAATTCAATTTTATGCATGCACATGGCGTTGTATTAATACATTATTTACAACATAGATGTACTTTTTATTATTAAATAAATAAAAGTATATATAATTTTTCTCCGGTTTAAATTAACTTTCTCCATTTGTCTCACTTGTTTGTTTTTTTATGAAGGGGAGCGGCCAACACGGTTTTAATCCAGGAATGCCCTTATCGTATCCCATAGAAAGTTATCTGGCTTAACCAAATATAACAGGCAGCTTCTTCCATACTTAAGAGGTTCAGAAAATCCTCCAGCCATCAATTTATTGAAGCTTTTGGATTTCTGACTTTCCAGTTCATTAGTTGAGAGGCATGCTAGGGCTATGAGTTTTATTCTAAATTTAGATTTGATGCCATTGGGCGTCCCAGTGAGCATGTAGCTGGACTCAAAGATACATCTGTATTCAGGATCTCAGCGAGTGCGTCTACATCCCAAAAAAAGACATGTAATTGAAACAAAAGACAGCATAGGTGATCACAGAGAGCTGGAGGAGTCTAAGCTGAGGTGAAGCCGGCGGAACAGCTTTCTTTGCATTATTTAAAATGTCAACATCGTTTAAAATGATTAAACTTCATAAAGGGAATGTTTGATTGCCTCCCTCTCCCTCAGCTTTAAGGAATTACAGGAAAACGATTCATGCATGTAATCCAGTGCAATTGCAATTAGAGTACGCCTCACTCTCTTTACACCATATCAGAGTGGGATTAAACTGCTGATGCAAACAGAACATCCCATGGTTGAGGCTGCAGTTAGAGGGTCAGGTACGGGGTGGAGGGGTCTGAAACAGAAAGTCCACAACACAGGAAGCTCCTCCACATACCAGGCAGGACGCAGAGGCAGATTTTTTAGGCGGTTTGATAGGCGGAGGGGACGCTTTGTCCCACTCCCAAAACGCCATGGAGTTCTGCAGGACCAGACAGCCCTCCACCTGCTGAGGAGGAGGAGGAGGAGGAGGAGGAGGAGTACGACCCAACCCCCGACCGACAGGCACGGCACACACGAGCAGACAGGAGAGGAAAGGAACAAAAAGAGAAGAATGGAAAAACAGAAGGCGGCATGCACGTCTTCAAAAAGGAGGAAAAAGAAAGCTAGAAACAGTTGCAGAACAAAACGAAAGAATGACACACAAAGAAATGAAAGACATGCTGGTAGAGGAGGGCATTCAGAGGAGAGGTTCTGGGATGGCTGTGAGGAGGGGGCTCTACCTCTTTCAGGTCGTTTTCCAGGCCCAGGTGCTCCGTCTGATGTCTGTGACGCTCTTTCCTTCGCTGAGCTGTCGCTGTCCTGTGAGACCACCTGCAGTTCAACCAAGGGGAAAGAAATGAGTTCTACAAATACTTCAGAGCACTTTGAAATACAGGTTAACACGTTTCCACTGTGCCATTTAGCCTTTGCTGACCATTTACATGTACACAAACCTACACTATAGGTAAGAGAAAACCCCCAAAAGCATATTACAATCTTAGCATAAAGGCTGGAGGCAGGGGGAAAAGCCTGGAGGTTTTTTCTTGGTTTTACTTTCCTCTGTTCTTTAGTGTCGCTGTTTTTCTTGCAAACGGATGAAAGGATAAAGAGATGGGTAGACTAATCCAATACATTCGATTAATGGAGTCATTAGGCTCTTTCAAAGCACACATGTTTTTTCTTTCCACCGCTGAATTGTGCCCTTAGAAGTGTAGCTTTTAGTGCTTTTTGTAAAACAGCAAGCGAAAGTAGGTTTTCCAGCGAATGAACTAAGCATCACACATGAAGTAACCGTGTTCTAATCAACCCAGCCAGCCTGTAATGGGTTGTTAAGTGCTGTCTTCATCGTCTGGTTTCACGTGTGGATCTCAGTCGCAGGGTGGAAGTGGGCTCACTTGTTATTGGTCGGCCCCGTGTTGAGCACGTCGGCCTGCAGTTTGGGGAAGAATCCCTGCTCGTATTTGCCCTGACCGATCTTCATGTCCAGCAGGTGAGGGTGGATGGCCGTGTGGTCGATCTTCATCAGCCGCTGCTCAATGGTCTGAGCTTTAGAGGAGACAGAATCCATTCAGACAACACTCATGTAAAACATTTCTATTGACTTGCTGTTAATACACCAGGCTTCTGATAAATGAATGAGCATAAATAATAGTTTTTATTTGATGTAAGCCACAATTCAAACTAGAAGGGCAGTCAACCCCATTTCACTCTCACTTTCCGTGTTAAGAAAGGAGTTGGGCGGGGGGGTGTTATTGTTGAATTTGCTGTGCATGTTCAAAAAATAATATTGTTTTCCTTGTAAAGAGAACACCTTTTTCTTCAGTTGAAAAATACTTACACACAAATATTCCAAATGTATATTCATGTTAAGGTGTTTGTTATAATTGTACAATGCTTTGGCCAATCCAATAAAGCTATTTGAATTTGAGAGAGAGCGGGAAAATGCTTCCTATTTCTCAACAACTGACAATAAAAAGAAACAGAATATTTTCAAATGCATTGCAGGAACGTAGCTCAATAATCAGCCAAGTAAATATAGGAGGACAGGACCTGACAATACCCACTGTGTCCTTCACCTTTTGTTATCTTCTCCTAACACGTCGTAGACACTACATTAGCAGACGTTTGTCCACAAACTCCTTGTTGTTAATCTGTCTGGGTCTTGTTGCTTTGCTCGAGGATTGAACATGTGTGTGTGTTTGTCCTCAGACAGTTCTGGAGTGAGCAGTGAGGCGAGGGCGTCGGAGCGAGTCTCCACAGGGGAATGCAGGCGGAGGGAGAGTTTCCTTATTGTCTGTGTAATTGGGTACATGCACGCACCATCGCCCTCAAATAAGCTCACCATTAAATTGCTCGGCTCATTAGCGTGAAACAGTCAGGGGCGCGAGCAGACGACATGTTAGCGTACGCACCGAAGGAATGCAGGAATAACTCACAAATCACTTTGATAAGAGTTACTGTCTAAAAAACTATCTTTGGTTTGTAATTTTTTAAATACACAAGTAAACCTGCAGTCCTGCTCTTTTCCATTCAGTCCCAGGTCTGACCCCCCGCCTCACACTGCACATTCAGCACCAATTAAAAGGCTTAACGAAGGGAAAGTCGAGCAGCACTAATTGATCAAATGACGGGGGAAAAGCCTGAGCAAACATTCCTGCAGTGAGTCTGTGTCAGAGAGTGTGTGCTCGTGCTTATGTGGGAGAGACTCTGAGTGATGGAGTGTTTGCTGTGCTGGGATGTAGAGACATGAGAAGTGTGGTTATCTGGTCACTGGGGAGGGCTGGGATGCTTCCAGACAACAAATGTGTCTGTTTATGGACGATCAGTATGATTTGAAGGACGGACAACATGCTAATCAATGAGACTACCATTCTCCCCGTCCGTGTGTAGGTCTCCCCAACGACTTCAGTTCCAAATGAAATCTTGAATCACATGAAATAAACCTAATCCATCAAGTTGGACGTCTTTCTGCTGAGCTTACCAGACTCCTTGAGGATGGTGCACCTCTGGTAGCTGGAGGAGCGCAGGCTGGGAGCGCGGACGTTGAAGAGGCGGGCCTTGTCGATGCGAGCGTCAAAGACACGCAGCAGCGGCTCCTTGTCCTCCCACTGGGACATGATCTTGTTGTCGATGAAGGTCGCAAACATCTGCGTCTCGATGAAGTGGGAGAGGAAGGGCAGGTAGGGCTCCGGCTGGTCGGAGAGGAACGAGGCCTGGAGAAGGGAAAAGCATGAGGGAGGAGATGCAGAGATACATGTACGGGCAAATTTCAAGCATTTAGTTCAAAGTTCAAAGGTTTTTTTTGTCATATGTACATACTCTGTAAGAGAAAGTGTAGAAATGGCAATGAAATTCTTCTGACCCGAGCTCCTCCAACAATACAACATATATAATAAAAAAACTACAAATAATGTAAATAGAATATGATGTGTACAAGGACAGAATACGAAATTAAATGATGTACATTAAGACAAAATTAAACACGGTTTATTGCGTTGATAACTATTTATATAAATAAGTAGATTGCAAGATGACAGACAGATGAATGTTTATCAGGGCACTCAGGTGTAAATAGTCTTAATGCCTGTGGGATGAAACTGTCCCTGAGTCTGGTGGTTTTACTCCGGATACTGCGGTACCGCCTGCCAGACGGTGGCAGACAGAACAGCTTGATTTCCTCACCTTGTCGAAGTTGTGCATCTGCTCCCTGTTGGTGAGCCACGACTCCAGGTCCGGGGCGCTCTGGATGACGAAGGCTTCGTAGTCGGCAAACATGGTGGTGAAGCGGCTGGCGCACACCTCCCTCAGCTGGACGTTCAGCTTGGCGTTCCTGAGCTCCTCCTCTTCGGCTGCTGTCCGGCCCCCGTGTCCCTCAGTCAGCTGAGCTTTGACCCCGGCCCTCAGGGCGTCCACGCGGGCCACCGTCACCCCGGTGCGCTTGGTGAGCGCCTGCAGTCTCTCCAGGGTGGCGTTCCCCTGCAGCAGCTCCAGCACAGCCAGCTCCTCCCCTGCCAGGTTGCCGTTACGCCCGTCGTCCTCCAGCTGCCGGAGAGCGACCGTCTTGCGCTCCCTTCCAGGGGTGGAGGGGGTGCTGCCTGGAGCGCTGCCGGGGCTGGTGCGAGTCCGAGGAGGAGCTCCTGTGTTAGCGGAAATGCCATAGCTAAGCAGCACCTCACTTAGCTCCTGGATGAGCTCAGTCTTATTGGGGAAATTGGGAAAGTCCTCTGGAAGTTCGATGTAGTGGTTGTCAATGTCCACAAAACACAGGTTGGCCTGGAAAAGGAAAATATATCAATATTACAACAATATGCAATATATTACAGACTTTTTATCGTTCCAAAAAGCTAACTCAAATTTCTCTATCTTCACTATCAAAGACAGGAGAGGAAATATGTCCTTTGGGTGCCAATGAGGTCGTAGGCCGGGTGAGCCCAGATGCATGAGACGGGTATTATGAGGACGCATATTGAGGACAGATTGGTTTAGGAGGTATGGTGGGGCTGGGAGATGTCGAGAACAGAGAATGTAGGTCAGTGTGTGATTGATAATAGCACATTGTCGGAGATCAAGCTAAATCTGATAATGGAGTTAGCATCACACCATCATATGGGATTAAAGTAAGACCTGATAACACTCTAATCCACTCAAAAAACCCAGAAATAGGAATGCGCTTCGGTATGTATGCCAGGAAACACACAGAAAATAGAAGTGATAGAAAACCTCCAGATTGACCTGAGGATGACAGACCCCAAAAAAAGATTGCCATAGCTATATTTTCAGAGCATTGAACCACTATCCATAACTGCTGAAAAACAAACCATAAAACACTTTTTACATGAAAGTTCTTAAATCTGGGTCTGGTTAGACTCAGATTCTTTTATTCAATAATAAAAACGAACACTAAACAAACTCGAGGAAAATCTGCATATCACAAACCTTTTCATCCACAGTGAAGTTGCCCTAGTTTAAATCTAAAGCCCACTAGAAATACATGAGTGTTCACAAGGATAGACAAATGAGAACACATGATAGATGATAACTGTGCCACGTAACATTCTGCAATAAAAGCATAAAAACGGTATAATTTAATGTTAAAAAGCCTGGTTTGAACCGGGTTCAGAAAGGCAAATCTTGTCTGACATTAATTCCCCAATTATATCCACAGTCTCTCTCATCGCGTCCTCTCTGCTTTGCTCCAAGCCATTCTTTCATCACCAGCACATTTCTGGGTCACAGCCACTTCAAAGGAGCTTTGGCAAACACAGAGGGATACAGCAGTGTAAGGGGGACCCCCTATTCGAGAGGCGGGGGGGGGGGACAGGCGAGCTTGTGGATGTACCGCTGCAGCATCCATGCCCTGGCTGGCTTAATTAGCATCCACACAGACTGTTCCGGATTAACGAGGGCCGGGAGTCAGGGGATGTGAGCAAAGCCGGAAGCCTGGATGTTACGCTTTGTTGGGGCCTGATCTCGCTTTAACACATGAACACACATGAACATTAACTGTAACCCTGAATCGGGCTAAATACTGGTTTAAATCCAGAGCCCATTCAACTCCTCTCTGTCTGACAAATGGTGGGGTTGAAATAAAAAGGCAAGAAGAAAGCCGAGACTGAAATCCACCTCAAACTCACTTAGCCTTGAAGTTCAACTTTAGACAAACAAAAGGTAGATCCCTGTCCTATTGTGTGTGTTCGTGGAGGTTGTTTAGAGCAGAGAGGGTTTTTTCTTTTGCCATTTCCTGTCTCTCTGAACCGGAGACTGGTAGTCTGCCTGGTTGGGGGTGTGTGTGTGTGTGTGTGTGTGTGTGTGTGTGTGTGTGTGTGTGTGTGTGTGTGTGTGTGTGTGTGTGTGCGTGTGTGCGTGTGTGCGTGTGTGTGTGTGCGTGTGTGCTGCCTCTGTTCTCTAAAACAGATTAAGGCCAGTGGTTGCAGGCTGGCTTCTGTATTGAATCCAACAGCAGTTTCATCAGATGTTATTGTCATGGCCAGAGTGAAAAGCCTGCACGACCTCAAGGAAAGATACAATAATAATAAACCAGGATAGAGTTAAACCCATCCCCCGCCCTCCTTTCCTTTCGATTGGTCTAGTTCAGTCTGAATGTGCACATATGGAATCTGTGCACTTTCATTGAAAATGCATTAAGCTCTCCAGTGATTTATATTCAACAGGAGAAATAGAAAGAAGACATGCCAGTCCTGCTCCTGCTGTAAGTCTGTCTTTACTTTCTCCAAGTATGAACAGGTTCAAACACACACCTCTCCGTGGGAAACGCAGCATTGGAGTCTGACTCACTCCACTTACTAGTTAAACTAAAGCATGAATTTTGTTCTCGTTTGAAATATCTACGGGTGTTTCTTTCTAAAATTCATTTCTGACGATGCCAAGAAACTCCCTTTGAAATGTTACAAGTACAAGAGTCTGTGAAAGGTGAGCAAGCATGTAATTATCTTTAAAGGAATACAGATCTGATATGGGGAAGCATAGTGCTGCAGAAAGCCCCAGCAGAGACGCACAAGGCTGCTGGAAAACAGGACAGGACATGTCGAGTCATTGTGAAACTGTAATCAGGGCCTGATAAACAAACGGACACGGTGCCACAAAGTACTGTAGGAAGCAAGCTGTGGGTGGTAACATCTGACAGTAGGTGTTCTTCAAATGCAGAGATGGTAAACATAAGTTTCGCTGCACTCTGATAAATGCTGTGCTTTAAGAAAAGAGTCAGATGTCTTGAATGAAGACAAGAAACAAATTGAAATGAAAAGAGGTCAAGGGAAGCATGTTATTATATTACCAATCAAAGAAACTAGAAATGACTGATATTTGACTGAGTGGAAACTGGGGTCAAGCCACAATATCAGAAGACTACATTGTGGAAATGTTTCATGTAGTAAGCCTTAAATGTGATGAAGAATATTGATTTTACATTAAAAGGGATCACTTAATCCCAATGACCACCATCTGTGATATTGAAGTTAATAGAGGAAGCCGTTATATGCTGCTATAAAACCCAACTACACATGCAGTATATTAGGGCTGAACGATATACCGTGTCGTGGCGATAACCGCGATATTCACATCGCAGGGACGTGCGATTATTATTTTTTTGGGGGCGTTCGATATTAAGTGGGTAAATTAACTCAAACACGTCATGTTAGAATTATTTTGCTGCTTGCTACAAAAGGAAAACTTGCGCGGCTCTCATGTCAGGGGTACTTGAGTGGAGTGACATGCAGGCTCTGAGTCTGCATGCACAGCAAACAAATATTTCAGATGCCATTGCCGGTGTTACACCATATGAGAAAGGTTCAAGACGGCTTAAAGGAGCTGGTGTACAGCTGTTCTTAATTTTATTTTTATGATGTTGTTTAAAAGATGTCCACTACTTTGCTGCTATTTGCACAAAAAAGGTTTTAATTGTGGAATAAAAAGTTAAATGACCTATTTGGTCACGTATGTTAATTCCCTAATGTGATAATGAAGCTTCCTATAGTTTAATGTAATACGTTTAATCTCTTGGATCCTTCTAGACACCACTCTTCTTCATTCACAGATGAACCCCCTTACTTGAGGGTAAGCAACATGCATTATCATGACATGTTAGATCATGACTTAAGGTATGATGAGTCAACCAGTTAAGATCCAGACGTCCGTGACTAAAATCCTTCATCCGGTTAAATATAGTTTAAAAAAACGCAATATATCGCAGGGAAAAAAATATATCGCAATGTCAGTTTTTTTCAATATCGTGCAGCCCTACAGTATATGACAATTATTTTGCACATTCCTTCACAAAACTACCACTTTAAAAACAGCAGAGCTCTCCCATGTATATATCTAAATCAGAATACTTCATTTATCCAGAGGGACGATTATGTTATTTCAGACAGTTTCTGGATTTAAAATTAAAAAAATACAAAGATAAAATATTAATATAAATATGAGATATTAAAGTAAAAATATAATAAAATATTTAATAGAATTTAAGAATCAATGTAAACGTCTAGATTGTACTGCAAATGCAATAAAAACTGATATACTACACGTCTTTAATTTCCCAGTAATGACTCATATTTGTGATGTAATTCTTTTTTGGTGTCTACATTAGTATTTATTCTTTAAAAAAATAAATCGTATCTTATTCACACCCTCATTTCTCTAACTGGTTTATCTATGAACCATTATACACCAAAGGAAATTCCTGGTTGGCAAAACAACTGATTCTTATCACTCCTCTCTACACTGATTACCATAAAGACATTCCTGCAGGCCCCACCCCCCACTGTGCACCATGATAGGCCGAGACACTCGTCTGTCACTTTCCATCCCTAGCCTCCATCCCTCATGGTGTCATTTGTTGTTGATTGATAATGAGGAGCGTGGGAACATATGGCGGAGCAGCATCTCATTATGCAGGGACCTTCCTCTCTCTCTCTCTCCCCTGGAGTGAACCCCTCCATCACCTGCCTCCATCCTAATGACGCTCTGTGCAGGTATTCTTCACCTCAGTACGGAGAAACAAGGGCTCATTAGGAAAGACGTGTCGCACAGTCAGAGCAGCCGCTGAATGGCAATGGGGATTCCTGATAACAAAAATGATAAACACTTGAATCAAAAAGGCATGAATGCAGTCTGGTTTTAATCAATTCCCTCCAGGGGGTGACTGCCTTTCACGCTGACAGTGATGAATAAAACACTGAGACCCAATTTCCATCAAACCACGATGGAGAGGAGCAGAAGGCGTGGATGTTTTCTTGGCCAATTGAGACGGCTTCAGTTAACATTTCTAACACTACTTCGCCTCAGGACTGTGCATCTTCTTAATTCAGAGATATCTAATTCATGACATGTTTGACCGGTTTTTTCTTTTTCTTTACATTTTGTTCTCTAGAGTTTGCGTTCATTGCAGTTACTGAATTTTAAAGTTAAAAAAGTACAGATAGGCATCATAACTCCAGCTCTGTACGCGATCATCTTTTTGCTGAACTCTAACAATGAAAGCAAATAGAAATCACACATCTCTATTAAATAACATTTGTCACGTTGCATGTTTACTTGCAGTACAGTGCAGAGCTATACAGTCGACCAATCAGATTACAATGTCTAATCCTTAACCCATTGTATCATTACAAGCTGTATGTACAGACACACAAAGGCCCAGGGCTCTGTTAGGAGGAGAAGGAAAACATGCATAGTAAGTAGAAGAAAGAGAAAATGGTTTGAGAGCTTTGAGTTTTAAGTCCTCTCAGATGCGAAAAAGTCTAATCAGCAATTATTAATAAGATGATAAGGGATTTAAAAACTCAGGTTATGAAGGGGTCAACCCAATACCTGCATTAGAGCATCGGCAACTACCGCAATATCAATATTGACTGAACACAGATTTTAAAAAAGTGGGTCAGATCTTGGCTTTTCATGCAGCAGTCATTTCACTCGCTCTGCACCACAGTAGTTACATGACGCATCCGGCTCAGAAGATAATAAACAGAAAGTGTTGCAGGGTGTGCCCCCGCCTGGATGAGTGAGTCTGAGAAAGAGTAGGACGGAGGAATGTAGAACTAAAGGTGATCTCAGGTCAGGGAGCAGTGCAAAGTAGCTGCTCTGAGTGTGAGATCCTACAGCAGTGCCTCACTGTGAATAATGGATGAGGGGAACCCTAGAAGGAGGAAAATCTGATCACGGTGCATCTCAGATACCCTCATGTGTATTTTAAGATACTTTGAGATGCATTTCTCAATTTGACTTCGCCTCCAAGCAATCAAGTTTAACTAAACAATCTTTAGGAGTTTTTGCTGCCTCAGCCTGCCTCTACATTTCTTCTTTTTTTTTTACAAGTCTTTTTATTTCATTATAGTGTACAGTCATCGATACCATCTCATTTATATTGTAATATCACAGTACACTCACTACACTCCCCCCGCACATGCCCACACGGGCGAAACCAAAAAAAAATGCTTATCAGTATAACTTAAACAACAGAGCCATTAAAATAAACGGAAAAGGAAAAAACAGAAAGAAAAAAAAAACACATTAAAGTAAAACAAACAAATAATTATACAACACAGCGACAATGTAGACAATGACAACACCACAACTAGTATTTCTATTTCTCTACATTTCAACAAAACCTATAAACTGAGAATTCAAAATAGTCAACGACCCCTACTCGCATATTGAATGCACTGCAAATTGTGCAAAAGGAATGACTTACGAAAACTAAAACAACATATTCTCTTATATAGTCTTCATTATAAGGTTGTGCACTAACTGTGTTTCTAGCAGATGCTTGTGGGTATAAAGTGGTCTAACCTATATAACACACTACAGGAAATGGAAAAACCAGAGAAGCTACGTAGGGTTCCCTTTAAGAGCAAGTAAATAGAAATGAAGATTCAATAATCAGTGTCATTGCTATTTTGAAATAGCATACCGCAAAAACATACAAGCGTGTGTTCAGATACGTTTGACAATGCTGAGTACAAGTATAATTTCCTATAAACCTGACCTTATTTAACAGCGTCCTTACCGTGTGAGTAGAGCAGGATCTGCATCTCCAGCAGCGTGCAGGTGAACACCTGGACCAGGTTCTCCACTCCCAGCAGACTGAAGGCCTCGGCCAGGGGGAAGTCGGCCAGCTGCAGCTCCCCGAGCCCCGGCCTCTGGCACACGATGGGCTCGTACACGCCGTGGAACTTGAGCGAGCGTCCCGGGGCGGGCAGCGGCACCTCGTACAGGATGTTGTGGACGTAGCTCTCCAGCGGCAGCGGGGGGGCGGTGGCTGCCGTGACGGCCCTGTGCATCTGGGACAGGAAGCGGCGGCAGGCGTGCATGAAGGGCATGGGCGTGATCAGACACAGGGCCTTGGAGACGTACAGGGTGTCCCGCGATGAGTCGTAGCTCCCCGCCCTGCGAGACGATGAAGACGTGGGGGAGTCGGCCTCGTCCAAACTGCTGGCCAGGGAGTCCATGCTGGAGGAGGAGGAAGAGGAGGAGGAAGGGGTGTTGGCGGAGGTGCTCTCTGCATTGTGCATTTGGGTGAGGGTCTGCATGGCGGAGCAGATCTGTGGGCTGGTCACCTCCTCGTAGAAGGTGTGGACGAAGCCGTAGGTCCGAGAGCCGTCCTCCCTCGTGATGATGAAGGAGTGGAACTGAGGCGTCCGCTGGTCCGCCTGCGTCCTGAACGACAGGCCTTTGGGCATACACAGCTGCAGGGAGAGGGGGGGGGGGCACAAATGAATCACCACTTCCACAGAAACTTGTTTGGTAAAAATCCTATCCTAAACAATCGTAAATATGATTGTTTAATTTTGAGTGATACTGTGACAAAAAGCTAAATTCCCGCTTATACCATGAATCATATCGCAACTGCAATGCCAGTCAATACATTTATTTTTTTTTTCTAAATCACGCAGCCCTAATTATAATACCTAAACCATCATTTCAAAGTACAAATGATAATGTGTGTTATGCGTTCACAGAAACACTCCAAATCCACATACATTTTGGTTATAAAAAACACACAGTCAGCACATCTGCGAATAAATCTGAATTATTAGCCTTATGATGTTATTTTGGCTACTGAGAGCCCCCCCCAAAAGCCCAGGAGCTGACTTGCACACGGAGCCAACACACACATTGTAAGTGTTCATGCTGACTGCTCTGCCTCCCACATACATATATTTCATACGCACCATTACTGATGTAACATTTGATAACATTCCACCCAGTTCTTCCTCATTTATGAACATTCTGTCTTTACAGGAGCAAATGAATCAAACACACACACAGGTAGGGGTGGGCGATATTGGAAAAATTATTATTATTCACGATATTTTTCAAGCAGTATCACGATAGACGATATATAGTCAAATATTTTTCATGGTCGTTATTATGTTATTTTTCAGAGTTACGTGAACAGACAACCACCTACAAGGTAACAGCATCTAAAACAAAAAAGGAGTAACAGACCAAAAATCAGCATTTCAAGCTGGTTATTTCGAAAATGAATCCTCTGAAGAGGACCAATTCAACATTTTTATATGTCTTTAAGGCACATGTTTCCAGTAAAAAATGAGCACTTGTCTGAGGGTGTAGCCTAGCAGTGAACATCAATAAACATGGAAAAGGGAGGGTAAACATAACTAAGTAAAACATAAAACATTCAATGGAGGACAAAAGGGTCAGTGGCGCAAACAATTAAAATGTAAACTTTAACTTGAAGTGCAATAAAATACTTTNGGCATCGTGCATGAATAAACATCAATATTCATAGACATATTTGGGGGCAGAGTTGTGTCGGCTGCTCCGCCCCCCCCAAATCTCTAATTGGTTGATTTCACTCTTAAGCGAATCAGAGAGTCCGTGGGGAGGAGTTGCTCACTCTCCTAGGTGTTCTTACTGGTTGGATTCACTTCTGGTCGGGTCCAATACAGCGAATCAGAGTTCTGGGAAAAAGTATTTTACTTCTGAACAGAGCGTGAGAGCTTCGGAACTAAACAAGGACAGAGTCAATCTTTTATCTTGCACCAGGATTCACTCCTTTACTTTCCCAAGGAATATTTCACACAAACTATTCTTTCCAAAACAATCAAACATTGTACGCAGATATATTGGTGCTTGAGATTATATTGGCCCCAGAAAGAAACTTGAAAAGAATATGTATGTGTGCTGGTATCAGGGTCAGTGAGTGTAAGTGAGAAGGTTATATATATAGGATTACTTGAAAACAGTCCCCAATAATACATGTTCACTTCAATACAGTTTAAAATAATACATGTTTACTTTAATACAGTTTAGAACAATATCTGTTATGAACTACATCTCCCATCTCGCACCACACACCAAGACGGCCGTCACATTGGCACATTTCACTTCTTTCTTTCAGAATGAGGCGAAAAGTATTAAACGAGGTTAAAATCCCTACAAGTCTGGGCATGTTGAGAGCTGTACATACACAAAAAGGGGAGTTATTTGATTCCGTAAGAGCCAGCATGCGGGACCGGGATTCTGGGATTTGTAATCTTTCTAGTTGCGTATTTTTCATAGTCTTAAGGCTTGTTTGAGACAAGCGAGACCTGAAGTTACCTACTGTAACTCCAGCTTCTATGAGTAAATGGCGTAGCCCTCTAAGGCTATCGCTATTGGGTAATCCCCCTGCGCCCCCGCGCAGCACTGAAACACTTGTAGTCCACGACCACCCGCAAGGTGGGCCCCACCCTCGGGCTCCCTTCCGGTATAAATAGGAAGGAGGCCCGACAACCTGCTCCCATACAAAATAACTTTTCTTCAGCTATTCGTGGAGCCAGTGGGGCCCAGCACTTAGAGGGCTACGCCATTTACTCGAAGCTGGAGTTACAGTAGGTAACTTCAGTTCTATTTCGTATATGGCTTCGCCCTCTAAGGCTATCGCTATTGGGTTAAGGGCGAAGCATGATGTAGTCTGCGCCCCACTGGGTCCGCCCGGCACTAGCACAGACACACCTGCTCAATAACACCCTATGCCTGTTGTGCCATGCGTAATGGCGCATCACCGTCCCTGGAACATATGGAACATGCCTAGCTTCCCTGACGGGATGAAGGCTGGGAACAATACATACCAGCCGCTGTGAGAAAGTAGAGACGAAGGTCCTACCTTGCCCAGCGACCATAGAGGTCCTCTATGGTCGCTGGGCAAGGTAGGACCTTCGTAGCAGCAGCTCTCTGCGTGTCAGACAGGTAGGAGAGCGCCCAGCTGGATCCCTGACGTCACTCACTCTGACCAGGCACTCCGTACAAAGTGTGTCAGAGGAAAAAGGAACATCCCTCTCACTTATGAGAGGGATGTTCCTTTTTCCTCTGACACACTTTGTACGGAGTGCCTGGTCAGAGTGAGTGACGTCAGGGATCCAGCTGGGCGCTCTCCTACCTGTCTGNAATAAAGTACCGCCAACTACGCGCCGAGAATTAGCACAGACAGCAGTTAGTAAGATTGATTCAGTAGCCACTTGTCTGGAAATACCGAAGACCTAGAAACGGTTTTGTAAACTTTTAGTCACGTAGTGATCGTTTTCTCAATAGAACATCTTTGATAATGTCTTCTGGCCAATCAGAATCAAGATAACGGCATGGTGTTGTTGCAGGAAGTCCCGAGGGAGAATACTTTTTCTGTAGTACAGGGGTGCTGTAACTGGTACGCAGGTTATCTGCGTAATCTGAAATGCGTACCGTCACTTGTGTCACAAAGCGCATTTGTGTACCGACGTACTTGTGAAGCTTTTCCAGAAGGCGGTTAGATCACCGGACGACAGTCGGTCTCTGTGTGCACAGACAGGGCTGCTGTTAACGTCGGTCTGTACAACGGAATTGTGCCAAAACTACGCCAACCGGCTGCGGAGGGAGACTCCCCCCCCTTCACTGGAGAACTGCGCTAAAACAGCTGATCACAACGTTCACCATGGTCACGAAGTACTCCACTAATTCCATTAATCGTTTGACAGCCCTAATATAAATGTATCATCTTTTTTTTCAATTGAATTATACTTAAAGTTCAGGGTAATCAACTGTTAAAAACATACTGTTCAAATTATTATTATTTTTTTTTAAAAGTTCAATAAATTGATGTTTTCAAAGTCAATGAATAATCGTATTTAATAATTGTGAATCACGATTATTTTTGGTCAATATTGATATCACGATTCGTGATATCAATATTGACCAAAATAGTCGTGATTATGATTTTTGCCATAATCGAGCAGCCCTACTCTATAATCACAATGTGTCAGATATATACGATTCTGAAATGGGGTTTTGCAAATAATGTGTGATTTTACTTTTGGCTTTAGTTGATGGCAATGCTTTTGTACTTTTACTTCAGCAAGATTTCGAATGCAGGAGTGTTTTTCCTTTTTCTTTTGCTACTTTTAAAACTTCGAGTAAAATATCTGAGTACTTTTCCACCACTAGTCATACCTGTAGCTGTTATGCATGTGTCATTGAAATGTTGGCTGCAGACAAAGCAGCGGTAGCAGAGAATGCTGCCTCAGAGGAAATGACTTGCACACAGGGACTGGCTTCATGACACAGAGAAATTATCTGCCGGCCCCGGGGTGGGGTGGATCATTTCCTGTATTGCTGGGAGATCCTCGTGCGTGTGTACGTACATGCACACGCCTCCGGCAACCCCTCTCCACCCCCCCCCGGCGTGTGTGTATTTTTTTTGCCTTAAATAGTAGTTTTATGTGAGGTCAGTCCTTTAATGGGGAAGTGGAAATGCGATGATGAAACGAAATGTTCTGCACGCTGCCGACTGATCGCAGCCGAGTGGAGAACGATGGTGAGAGCAGGAGGACAGGCAGATAAGAAGCAGAAAAGGGCAAGGGGGGAAAGTGGTGGAGAAATAAGAGGATGTGAGGGGAACATGGAACAGAACATGCCATCCTGTAATGATAGGAGGAACAGAAGAGTAAGGAAAAAGTAGGAGATGCCTTTGAAAGTCAAAGGGAGTGGGGTTCTTGTGTTCTCTCGTATAACATTTGTACGGGTCCAGTGTTTCACACAGCTCCTCATTGACTGTTCAGGAATGCGTAGCTGACACAATTTGATAGATGACTTCCTTATTGTAACACACTGTAACGATTAGGGGTTTACATCAGTCTGTCTTTTGCTTATTTAATGGTTTCCCTACATTGCCCTGGGTCAAATACTACCCATAATAAAACGAGTGAATGCTACAAATACTCAGCTTGTGTTCAGTTGACCTCACATGCTGCCCCAGTGCAGTGGTCCCCTGCGGTATAAAGCCACCTATACCAACACTTACACATATGTCATACTTATTGATTCATATGGAGCAGCGTTTCCGCCAGGGGGGCGTCTTGCCGTCATTTGACGCCCTTATTCAGCTCGGGACGCCCTGAACTCGAGCCGAGGGCGTCCACAAATATTAATAATTCGAGAGAAGGAGAAAACAGGACAAGGACATCCCTCTGTTGGAGAGGCAAAGGAGTCCGGTGGGATTCTTTTCGGAGTATTGAAGATCGTTTCCCCGACATCGGCGGTGCCTGCAGCACAACACGGAACGTGCACGATTTAGACGCGATGAGCAGGGGGGTTTTAGTGGAGCACGCGCGTGAACTGAGGCTCCGTGGTAAACTGTGGTAACATGAAGAGCCGTTTGGGAGCCGAAACAGCTGGCGCTTTAAGAGAGCCGAGCCAAAGGATCCGGCTCACTAACGTAAAAAGACAGTATCTATAAGGGACGGCTCAAGTCAACCCCCCCCTCTCAGCCCTGGTCTGGCGGAAACACTGATATGGAGCCCTGAAACTGACTTAATGTGTTAAACCATTATAGAAAAAAAAAGATACACAAAGACATAAATCCGAGATATAAAGATATTATTAGAATGGAGTTTAAAAATAAATAAAAATAATAACAACAATACATTATTATTGTTATTTATATAGCGCTTTTCCTGGTGCTAAAAGCTCTTAACAAAGTTGCATAGCTTGCTTTAACCATCAATCAGTTGCTCGTTTGAAGTTCCCAATCATTTATCCCCGTATGTTTTTATCTTCTTGGCACACATTCTGTCCTTTTTATTTTACCAAAGCAATATTGTCCTCACCACATTTACACTTTTCTTATTCATATCCATATTTGCCCAGAGCGGTGATCTAGGGTTGGTTTGTGTGTGTAGCTTTTGAAGAAGACTGTGTGACTAGCTAGCTGAACTGAAATGAAAGGTTGCAAGCTAAATATCTTGAGCAAACATTTATCATACATACATGTACATATGCTAACTATGCATTTACCGTACTACATACTGATGTAGCATTAATGTATGAACTCGTAACAGTAGCGTAAGCATTTTAGTGGGAAAGCTAAAGGTAACAAGGTTAGATTGCCAACTTTACTAAGAAGTTTATAGACATACCATCTTCAATAGTATGTCTCCTTTGTTCTATCTCATTTAACATTATAATTTAATTGTATGTTCATTTTTTCTTTTACTACCATTTGGCAGTTTTGGGGTGCCTTAATATGATACCTGAGATATGAACGCAAATATACAGTCTGCCTACAGTATATGTAGTACTCCAACGAACGAATATTCGGATATTCGGGTACAGCCCTAGTTCATAACCTGTAAGAGGCATTTTCTTTTTATGTTCGGTCAGAAATATAACAAAATGACAAATAAGTCCTTTGAGTACCATTAGTGTAATTTAACTGGTGACTATTCACTGTGCGGAGATTACTTCATCTTCCACACCAATCATTCAAACAGTCACAGAAACAGTTTGTTCATCATTTGTCTGAACATGAATATCATTGACACAATCAGGAGAGTTACTGCTTATGGAACAATTAGTCATCCTGCCTCTCTGTCGCTAAGAACAGTGCCTTCAGTTAGAAACCATTTTATCTGCATGTACCGTAGCTGAAGTTTATTTATCCAGTCCGTTAGCTTGATCCCTGTCGAATGAAACGCTCTCCAAAGCTGTTTATTTGTTAAACTTGCTGTGTAGCAGTGATGTCTAACTGTTTTTGTTAAGTGCTGTGGTAAAAAAATATACAAAAAATAAACTCTCCTTAGAGATTCAGTCATTGGTCAGTAATGTTAAGTTGGACTCCTGCACTTCACTGCCTTTATTGGGTAGAATGTGTTCCCAGTTGGTTTTGATTAATTTCTCCTAAATTAGAGTCTGGAACAATGTTCTTTTTTCTTTTACATTTTCTGTGGCTACAGTTGTCATTAAAGAGTACCTACTATGCTCATTTTCAGGTTCATATTTGTATGTAGTGTCTCTACTGTGTCATGTCTACATGCTTCAATGTTCAAAAAGCTCTTTATTTTCCTCATACTGCCTGTGCTGCAGCACCTCTTTTCACCCTCTGTCTGAAACCAGAGCCCAGTCTGCTCTGATTGGTTAACTGGCCTGCTCTGTTGTGATTGGTCAACTGCCTAGAGATGTTTCGCAATTGTTATGCCCCTTAGCCTATCATGTACAATGTATTGGAGCGCTAGCCGATAGAAAGGCGAACGTTACATAATGATGTCACTACAGTGTTTCCCATACATTGATTTAGTTGTGGCGGAATGTTGCAAGTTCTAATCCCGCCTGGAACACCACTACTAGTGTGCCCTTGAGTAAGGCACTTAGCCCTCAGTTACTCCAGGGAGAACGTCCCTGTAATTGTTCATTGTAAGTCGCTTTGGAAAAAGGCGTCTGCTAAATGATATTTTTGGGAGAATAAACCCAGCAGATCCTCAACTCCGGTGTGTCTCACTCATTAACAACACAACACAGAGCAACAAGAACGTTGTCTACAGTAGCCATGAACTCACATGTATTTTCTTATTTGAGGCAGGGTGGATGCGTGGGCCACCCGAATAGGTTAAGGGGCCTTTGGCTTTTCTTACCGGGGGGTGCGGTGCCCCCACAAATAGAATCAAATTCTGTGGGAAACACTGAATGTATTCCACAATAACTAAATATGTACATGTTCTAGACATTGTGATAATCACAAAAAATATTTGAGGCATTTTACTTACTTGAATCTTACAAATCCAGTCCAATAAAACAAAGAGATGTTGCTCGTTTGAAGATTTGGAAGTATGTATTACCCAATAGTAGTGTGAGGCTGAACAAAAGGACCTTTTGACTATGTAAATGTGGTCTTTAAAAAAACAAAACATTTAGTGACTTTTTTAGGATAGCTTAAAGTAATGTTGTAAAATTACAACCGTGGGCCTTACAGGGTTAACTCAGTTTTCTCAGTCTTCGGTGGATTTAATCTGTTATATCTTTATTTTTTGTATAGGAAACTGAAGGAGGATTTGCTGTCCCCCTCTGTCTTCCACTGTTTTCTACCTCAACCAACATTGGTGACCACTGTCTACCTCCGAAGGGCATCAGGACTTCGCCCCCCCAAACAAAAAGGTTGCGTACCACAGAACCACTGCATCTCCGAAGAGATAGCAGAGGAAAATATAAAATGTTTCTTAACATTTTTGTTGTATTGTCCATTATGTTCCACAGCTCCAGATGTTTATGCCATAGTGCGGTGTGAGAACGACACCATCAGGACACATGTTTTCAAGGCGGAGGGAAACCCAGAGTTCAACCTCAGAGCCATCTTCTACAGGAGATACCCCAGCACACACATCTCTATCGAGGTTTGACTTATTTATATATTCTTTCTCACACACACACAGCGTTTGCACACACAGTCAATCCTGTCTTGCTGTGTGCAGTTGTGGAGCAGAGGGTGGCTGTGGGACTCCATGCTGGGAGAGGCTCGGCTCCAGACGGCTGAGTCAGAGAGAAGTCGGAGTCATGTGATCGATCTGCGAGGCGGCCAATCCCGGCCCGGGTCCCGAGGGTGCGTCTACGTCGAGACCTCCTCCAGCGTCTGCCTCACAGACTTGTGACAGCATCATGCGTTGCCCTGGTTACTATTCCCTGACATGGCAAGTGTCTTCCTCTCTGGTGGAAGTGGATGGACAAACAGAAGTTTTGATGAACTAAAGTTAGACTGTGTTAAACAACTAAACCGCTGATACATTTTGTAATTAAAGATGTATTTAAGGCAGATGCTAGTTGCACCTGGGTGTATATAGTCAGTAATGCTATTTGTACCTGGGTGACTATAGTGAACAATGCTATTTGTACCTGGGTGACTATAGTGAGCAATGCTATTTGTACCCGGGTAACTATAGTGAAGAATGCTATTTACACCCGGGTGACTATAGTCAAAAATGCTATTTGCACCCGGGGTGTGTTCTGTACTCTGTGGTGATCTGCAGGTCGGATGTTAGGGTGACCATCTTTCACGACTCAAGCAGTCCATGCAAAAGAATGAACTGCGGCCAAAATATTTCCTCTGTGTGGTATTATATTTAATTAATCGTAAGAACTGTTGTTTTGTTGCTGTTGTGGTTGTATTTTTTACAATTATTTATGTTGTTAATATGTTTGAATGTCAATGTACAAAACTATATTTGCATTTGTGTTTTGATTTTTTTTTCCTATGATTAAATAATTAACACTTTTCAGAGTATACTGACGAGTCAGTTTATTTCATTTCTTGCAGCATTCAAATTATTGAAGTAATTTTTTGGGGGAAAACTTTCACTTCAGCTTTTAGCCCAGAGGACTTAAACCAGTAGCTGGACAATAGCAACGATTAAAGTGCACCCTGGTGAGAGTGAATGTTTTAACATTCACTCTCACCAGGGTGCACTTTTGCAGGACTGCAAACAGAATCGGAAACAACACACTGTGTGAGACTAAGCATGAACATTTATTAAATGTTTTTCCTATTTTCCTCCATTTTGATTACATGTAAATGGCTGAGATAAACTGCAGCATTAGCCTACTGGAGCTTATATCGCTTAGGAAAACGACTGTGTGATACTGAATGTGGCCACACCTCTGTTCCAAATGCAAACTATCCAAATCTAAGATAAAATGCTAAGGCTTGGTCAACCTTTAACTATACTCATTTGACAGTATTTGTATATCCGGAGCCTGTTTGAAGTGTTGAAATGTGGTTTGTTTTATGTTGCTCTAAGTTGACTATCAAGTGTTCATTTTTTACATTCTATGCTGTGATACTATACTATATATTATATAAGTTTCATAGCTTTGACTTTCTACTCTTTTTAGGTTGCAACTTTTGAACAGAAAATCATGAGTTTCTAAAATGATAATTAAGTGATGAACTACCAAATAGTATATTAGGTATGGTGTTCATAATTAGCTCCATCCTGACAACAATAGGAGTAATGTTATTGTAAGAATAATCACTAGCCTGTTGCCATTCTGCTGCATAATGCTTTTACTAATTGTGTTTTTTATTTCAACTCGTGTGTTTTTTACACTGTGATATTGCTGCTTTTACTGAATTAGAGGATATACATACATACTTATTATCCCTCTACTGAGAAACAGGCCTATCGTTTTTAGGTCTACAGTCAGCTGATGGGCATGCGCGCTCCCGAGAGGTGGAGCTACTGCAGCTCACGAGGCGATGTCAGACTCACAGCTGAAGTCTGCGGGAAAGAGGCAGACTGACTAACAGCAGGGTAAGTGTCCTATAACAAAACAATTCGTCACTTTTGTGCATTACATTTCATTTCAAACCTTTATTTATCCAGGTATTACAATATTACGTTGACACTTTACGCGGTTGTTCCGCAGTTGAAACCCATTATCTGGTGTTAGAAGTTAACTTTATGCCTGTGTGTTAGCGGGGTGTGGCAGGTTACATTGAACTTTTACTGAGAAATAAAAGGCGAGGTCACAGATAGACGTTATATTTCCGGCTTTGACAGCATTTATTTATCAGGCTGCGTAACCTTTGCCAAAGTTTTGGACATGTCACATGTCCAAAACTGTCACATGTGAAGTGAAACCAAAATAGAAAGTGTTTCAGAGTCTACATAAATGTTGTAGAGGCAATGTTGACATCACATACTAAATCTAATTTAATATCAGTTAACTATCCTAAATTGGACTAAAGTTATATTTCAGCTTCACATATTTTGTCTAATTGTCATACTACATTTCTTTTTCGTTGTCTGATTTAATCTTGTAGTTTTTGTGCACAGGTTGTCACTTGTTGCTGGTCAAACCGGCTTTCATATGAATCTAGTCAAACCACTTAGCTGTCATTTGGCTTACTCTTCCTGAACACATATATTGTACGTTTGTGGACATCAACAACAAACAAGACTGTATGCAATTCATTCAAAGTCATCACATTTTATTTAGGAAAACTAGGATAGCTTAGGAAAACTAAATTGAATTTATTCTGGGATAAATCAACTGACCTGATTAAATCACTGTAATGAGCAGAAACATGCATGTATAATGTATTCTCTTACGCTAAGAACTCACCATTTCTTTAACTTATGTGTAACAGAAATACCATTTAAATCTAGGATCCTTTCATGAGTAATTTCCCTGAATGCCTAAAGGGATGCCACTGATTTTACATCCTAAATAGTTAACTCGGGATTGTGAAAAGAGATAAGGTTGTATATGACTCAAACAGGAGCCATTGAAAAAAACCTTATCATGTTTCAGGTGTGGCATTTACAAAGAAACAGACCATCAAGAGGCATCATGGTCTAATTGAAGACGCTTAGTTGCATTGTGGGAAATTAATTGTAATGTGAAAAGGACATATTGACTTCTTACCATAACGTATTCATTAAGAAAGTAGTCCTCACACCGACATTGGAACTCTTTAACACTGTCAGTGACAATGGAAAGTACAAAATATATATATTTCCTTAATTCAATGCATTCTTCTTTTTCAAAACCAGTTTTCTACATCGTTAAGACTAGAAATGATATATTAATGAGGTATATATATTATATTTGTCAAACAAAAATGCAGAATGTTCCCTGGTTTCAGCTTCTTTTTTTTTTGGGCTGGCTAATAGAATATCACTGTCAGCGTCTAGACTTGTACTTTTTAACAATCAACACAACTGTCTGCTCAGTTTTGATCCTTTCTTCTTCATTTCAGAACCCTCACCACTGAACATGTCGAACATAGGCCTTATTAGTCGCATCCGCAGCACTCCTCAACCCCCAACCCCCGTACTAGGTGAGACCACGTGCACGCCTGTCATCGGTTCATTTGACTCTGATTGTGTACAGTGAAGACGCTTTAAGTGTTTTTTAATCTATTCTTTCTTTTGCAGCTGTTTCAAAGTTGTTTTTCTGTGTCATACCCATTGCTCAGATTGCAATTGGTAAGTGAGCGATTCATTTTACAGATTTTGTTTAACTGATATTATATTTGTAATGTCTGTTAAGAATGTGGATAAATGCAATGCCACCCATGTGTCCTCCAGGTGCTGTTCATCTGCATGACTGTCCGAGGGAACACTACATCCCCATCTATCTGATAGTGGGGGGGGTCTTTGGCCTGGTGCTCTCGCTGCTCTCCTGCCTGCCCTGCGCTAAAACCCCCGAAGATCGAGACACCAGCCCGCTCAATCGAATCTGCGCGACGTGGAACTCCTTAACATCTTTATTTCTCTTCTGTTGGTTTATTGCAGGTGAGTTTTAAATAGCCTTGCACGGACAAATGAGTGACATATAGTGACATCCAGCCAAAATTAGCATCATATCACAGTCCCATAGGGTGAGGCTCGAGATAGGGAAGCTAATATTTGACCAACTATCATACTTGTTTTACCACAAAAGACATCAATGTTGATAACAGCCCTGATAACCCTGAAAAACAATAAAGCAGAGGTGTGACAGAGGCCACATTAAATAAATTTACATCCAACATTCTTTCAACTTCACTTATAGTCTGGGTATTATACATTGTATTCGTATGAGTTGGAGTCGACTGACCGATGGCATTTAGACGACTGTAATTCCCTGACATGCCTGTTACCGACCTTGGACAAACGTACACGGTTTAAATTTTTTCCCTCCCCTATAAGAACGGCTGGTAGATCACCGGTATATACAATGATTTCGTCCCACGTTTATTCCTCTCTAAATTGTCCTCTTGGAGTTTTCATTCCCTCTATTACCGTTTATAATTTTCCTTTTTTACTCCGACCACACTTTTCGGTACATATATAACACAACAATTTCAATCTACTCGAATTGGTCTCTATGAATTGTATTGTTCAACATCACGTTACAAATGGACGTCAAAATATGCCGCAAAAATAATTCCATGTGTATAGGTGAACAGGGCGTTTGGACGGACCCAATTCCGATTCCGACAGTCATTCGGCGCTCGTCAACGAGAGAAAACATCATTGTCCTAAATCTAACCCCAACGAAAATCATCAGCTTAATACGTAAGTAAAACAAACAATACCTTGCATTAAACACACCACAACCGTAACAACGATACCTTACAACATTGGACTTTAAGTTAATACATATTTCATCAGTATAAGTGGGCCGTAGCGCAATTCGAACAAAAGGACCTCGGATGAATCCGATAAGAACAACAACAACCAACCCAGTTTTAAGTAATCGAGTCGATACTTGTAGGTCGGAGAAGTGTCGGGGTACATGTTTTTCCTACGACTCGGAGTAGCTCTTTTATGTCTCTTCCCGTTGGCTTCGACCAAGGTCTTGATTTTCTGGATGGTATAGTTCTTACTGGACGTTTAAGAATTCTAGGCTCATACATAATATCTTCCCGCTCCCCTTATTACTAGCTTCAAAAGTTTATATAGAGGTGTTGTAGAAGTTTCTAGTACGGGTAGATGTTGCCCTAATATTGGTCTGGTCGCCTGATCACCTGTGATCGGAGTTCAACTTCTTTCTTGTCATGAGAGTCTGACCGATAGGCGGCGTTGAAAAAGTCGACGCACACCAACTGAACACCTTACTAGCGGTCTTTCGCAACAGTGTTAGGTTCTGCCAACAGTTCACGGGCGGAACTGGTACCAGCTTAAGTTGGTAGTGGAAGTTGAAACCTGATACATCGACAACGGTCGGTAGGTATTCATGACATATATTGCTTGTCACTAGAAGAATAAATACTCGGCTGATTTTCCGAATCCGGATATTCTCGGCGTATAGGATAACTGATAA